ATTTCCACCCCAAATCCCCCATTTCCTCCTTCCCCACCCCAGGCATAGAAGAACACGACGCCGAGGGCCGCGTCCTGACGGCCGAATTCCCTTCTTTTTACATCGTTTCCGCCTACGTCCCCAATTCAGGCCGGGGTTTAACCCGCCTCCAATACCGCCAACGTTGGGACGAAGCCTTTAAAAGTTTCCTTTTGGGCTTGGATTCCCAAAAACCCGTGGTTCTTTGCGGGGATCTGAACGTGGCCCATCAAGAAATCGACCTCAGGCACCCGAAAAACAACCGACGTTCGGCCGGTTTCACCCAAGAGGAGAGGGATGGATTCGGGGCTTTGCTCGACGCCGGCTTCCTGGATTCGTTTCGGGAGCTTTACCCCAATTTACCCCACGCTTACACCTTCTGGACCTACATGGGGGCGGCCAGGGAACGCAACGTGGGCTGGAGGTTGGATTATTTCCTGCTGTCCAAGAGGTTGGGGTCGGCGCTGTGCGATTCCAAGATCCGGTCCACGGCCATGGGAAGTGATCACTGCCCCATTACTCTTTACCTGGCTGTGTAGGCAGGAAAAGACCCCAATCCCAACCCAAATCCCATTAACGGAACCCAAAATCCCATTGCTCGACTCCAAATCCCGTTAACTTGACGGAAAATCCCATTATCGTGACGGAAAATCCCATTATTGTGACCCAAAACCCAACTGAGTTGACCCAAAACCCAACAAAGTTGACCCAAAATCCCAATAACTCGACCCAAAATCCCATTAACTTGACCCAGAATCCCACTATCTTGACCCAAAACCCAACTAAGTTGACCCGAAATCCCATTACTTGACTCAAAATCCCAATAACTCGACCCAACATCCCACTATCTTGACCCAAAATCCCAATAACTTGACCCAAAATCCCAACTAAGTTGACCCAAAATCCCATTACTTGACCCAAAATCCCAATATCTTGACCCAAAATCCCATTATCTTGACCAAAAACCCAACTAAGTTGACCCAAAATCCCATTGCGTTGACACAGAATCCCACTATCTTGACCCAAAATCCCAATAACCTGACCCAAAATCCCATTAAGTTGGCTCGACATCCCATTACTTGACCCCAAATCCCATTGCATTGACCCAAAATCCCAATAACTTGACCCAAAATCCCATTACTTGACTCAGAACCCAACTAAGTTGACCCAAAATCCCATTATCTTGAGCAAAATCCCAATAACTCGACCCAGAATCCCAATAACTTGACCCAAAATCCCATTCAGTTGGCTTGAAACCCCATTCCTCGACCCCAAACCCCATTGCATTGACCCAAAACCCAACAAAGTTGACCCAAAATCCCATTATCTTGACCCAACATCCCACTATCTTGACCCAAAATCCCAATAACTTGACCCAAAATCCCATTCAGTTGGCTCGAAATCCCATTACTTGACCCCAAATCCCATTAAGTTCACCCAAAATCCCATTATCTTGACCCAAAATCCCATTACTTGACCCAAAATCCCAATAACTAGGATCAAAATCCCATTACTTGACCCCAAATCCCACTAACTTGACGCGAAATCCCATTATTGTGACCCAAAATCCCATTATCTTGACCCAAAACCCAACTAAGTTGCCCCAAAATCCCATTGCTTGACCCCAAATCCCATTATCTCGACCCCAAATCCCATTGACATGTCCAAAATCCCGTTAACTTGACCCCAAATCCCATTGCTTGACCCCAAATCCCATTGCTTGACCCTAAATCCCATTGCTTGACCCCAAATCCCAATAACTTGACCCAAAATCCCATTACTTGTCCCAAAATCCCAATAACTTGACCCCAAATCCCATTGCTTGACCCCAAATCCCATATTGTTGACCGAAAATCCCATTAAGTTGGCTCGAAATCCCATTAATTGACCCAAAATCCCACTATCCTGACCCCAAATCCCATTGCATTGACCAAAATCCCATTAACTTGACCCCAAATCCCATTAAGTTGCCCCAAAATCCCATTACTTGACTCAAAATCCCATTTCTTGACCCCAAACCCCATTAACTTGACCCCAAATCCCAATAAATGGTCCAAAAACCCCACAAATTGACCCCAAACCCCACAGATTGACCCCAAATCCC